GAAATGTTCTGGTTTGTGAGCCGAGTAAATGTGTGTGAATTTGATCAGTTCTTTTATTTGCAGCCCATAATGATTCACAGTCACACAGTTGAACCTGGAGACAGAACCTCACAGTCAGCGTCAGATGAAGATCTGCTCCATCGATTAGCATTCATCTGTGATTCCCACGAGACACAAACTGAACCTGTTCTCTCTCCGGTGGCATGTGAACTCTGGTTCGCTCCACATAAGGCTGTGAACGCAGCATATGAGCGAACAGGTCAAACGTTCCTGTGAGACGTCATGGACTAAATCCTCTTCTGATGAGAACAGATCCCACATTATACCAGATCCGGCATGAAAGCAGTGTTTCTACGTCGCCAGGGTGTTACTATGTGATTGCTAAACAGTTTTTGCAGGTTAGCATGTGTTTTTCTCCCAGTCTGTCAGTTCGCTTCTGTTCTGTCGCGCGGCTGTGATTCGGAGTCAGTGCGCTTCTGTTCTGTCGCGCAGCTGTGATTCGGAGTCAGTGCGCTTCTGTTCTGTCGCGCAGCTGTGATTCGGAGTCAGTGCGCTTCTGTTCTGTCGCGCAGCTGTGATTCGGAGTCAGTGCGCTTCTGTTCTGTCGCGCAGCTGTGATTCGGAGTCAGTGCGCTTCTGTTCTGTCGCGCAGCTGTGATTCGGAGTCAGTGCGCTTCTGTTCTGTCGCGCAGCTGTGATTCGGAGTCAGTGCGCTTCTGTTCTGTCGCGCAGCTGTGATTCGGAGTCAGTGCGCTTCTGTTCTGTCGCGCAGCTGTGATTCGGAGTCAGTGCGCTTCTGTTCTGTCGCGCAGCTGTGATTCGGAGTCAGTGCGCTTCTGTTCTGTCGCGCAGCTGTGATTCGGAGTCAGTGCGCTTCTGTTCTGTCGCGCAGCTGTGATTCGGAGTCAGTGCGCTTCTGTTCTGTCGCGCAGCTGTGATTCGGAGTCAGTGCGCTTCTGTTCTGTCGCGCAGCTGTGATTCGGAGTCAGTGCGCTTCTGTTCTGTCGCGCAGCTGTGATTCGGAGTCAGTGCGCTTCTGTTCTGTCGCGCAGCTGTGATTCGGAGTCAGTGCGCTTCTGTTCTGTCGCGCAGCTGTGATTCGGAGTCAGTGCGCTTCTGTTCTGTCGCGCAGCTGTGATTCGGAGTCAGTGCGCTTCTGTTCTGTCGCGCAGCTGTGATTCGGAGTCAGTGCGCTTCTGTTCTGTCGCGCAGCTGTGATTCGGAGTCAGTGCGCTTCTGTTCTGTCGCGCAGCTGTGATTCGGAGTCAGTGCGCTTCTGTTCTGTCGCGCAGCTGTGATTCGGAGTCAGTGCGCTTCTGTTCTGTCGCGCAGCTGTGATTCGGAGTCAGTGCGCTTCTGTTCTGTCGCGCAGCTGTGATTCGGAGTCAGTGCGCTTCTGTTCTGTCGCGCAGCTGTGATTCGGAGTCAGTGCGCTTCTGTTCTGTCGCGCAGCTGTGATTCGGAGTCAGTGCGCTTCTGTTCTGTCGCGCAGCTGTGATTCGGAGTCAGTGCGCTTCTGTTCTGTCGCGCAGCTGTGATTCGGAGTCAGTGCGCTTCTGTTCTGTCGCGCAGCTGTGATTCGGAGTCAGTGCGCTTCTGTTCTGTCGCGCAGCTGTGATTCGGAGTCAGTGCGCTTCTGTTCTGTCGCGCAGCTGTGATTCGGAGTCAGTGCGCTTCTGTTCTGTCGCGCAGCTGTGATTCGGAGTCAGTGCGCTTCTGTTCTGTCGCGCAGCTGTGATTCGGAGTCAGTGCGCTTCTGTTCTGTCGCGCAGCTGTGATTCGGAGTCAGTGCGCTTCTGTTCTGTCGCGCAGCTGTGATTCGGAGTCAGTGCGCTTCTGTTCTGTCGCGCAGCTGTGATTCGGAGTCAGTGCGCTTCTGTTCTGTCGCGCAGCTGTGATTCGGAGTCAGTGCGCTTCTGTTCTGTCGCGCAGCTGTGATTCGGAGTCAGTGCGCTTCTGTTCTGTCGCGCAGCTGTGATTCGGAGTCAGTGCGCTTCTGTTCTGTCGCGCAGCTGTGATTCGGAGTCAGTGCGCTTCTGTTCTGTCGCGCAGCTGTGATTCGGAGTCAGTGCGCTTCTGTTCTGTCGCGCAGCTGTGATTCGGAGTCAGTGCGCTTCTGTTCTGTCGCGCAGCTGTGATTCGGAGTCAGTGCGCTTCTGTTCTGTCGCGCGGCTGTGATTCGGAGTCAGTTCGCTTCTGTTCTGTCGCGCGGCTGTGATTCAGAGTCAGTGCACTTCTGTTTTCCTGCACCGGGCCGCAGGAGCTCCAACTCTCCGTGCAACAGGTGTCGAGTGTCGGTGAGGAGCTTCACTTCCACCGCTGTCTTTATCATCGCTAGGATTTATTGGTATTATCGCTGTATTAGTAGTCAGGCATCACTGGTATCCCTAGTGATGAAACCTCTATCAGCAAGTGTTAAAGTTGCGTTTGTCAATCCGTGTGCTGCTGCTTTTACTAATGATGGAACAGAAAAGGTGAAAAATCTCACATATGCACAATGAATGAACCAGACCAGCAGACACTGAGACTCCAGACTGTAAAAAAAAGGATCAAAATTTTGTTAGTTTTTGTTTAAAATGAGTAAAAATATCTGCCAATGGGGTAAGAAAAGTAATCTTAATTCAAAGGCTGAACAAGATTATTTTTCTTACCCCATTGGCAGATATTTTTACTCATTTTAAACAAAAACTAACAAAATGTTGTTGGTCCTTTTTATTTTATTTTTTTAAGAAAACAAGACATAATATCTTAAGTCATTTCACCTGTCAAGTAAATGAAAAGGTGAAAAATCTCACATATGCACAATGAATGAACCAGACCAGCAGACACTGAGACTCCAGACTGTAAAAAAAAGGATCCAAATTTTGTTAGTTTTTGTTTAAAATGAGTAAAAATATCTGCCAATGGGGTAAGAAAAATAATCTTGTTCAGCCTTTGAATTAAGATTACTTTTCTTACCCCATTGGCAGATATTTTTACTCATTTTAAACAAAAACTAACAAAATGTTGTTGGTCCTTTTTATTTTATTTTTTTAAGAAAACAAGACATAATATCTTAAGTCATTTCACCTGTCAAGTAAATTCATCTTGATTCAAGAATGTTTAGACATTTGTACTAGAAAACAAGACAAAAATACAAAGTAAGAAAATAATTTTTTGCAGTGTAGCAACCACAACACGCTGGTATTGTGCTGAGTTTGCAAACATCACTTACATTTCCCCACAAAACCATCTATTTTAGTCTTTTATATCATAAATTTCACAGTATGTTTTTTTTTTCATTTACATACAACAGCGGAATACAAAGGAAACATGAAAATAATTATCTTATTCTACAGATATCGTTGTTATATCACGTCACATTAATATACCAAATGTAATGTTATTCTCCTGACTTCTGAAAATAGAAAAATAATGAAAATGTACAGCCCAATCAGTCAAAATGAGGATAAGGATTATCTATAGTGCAATCTTATGATTTGAAATGATTTGTTGCAGTCTTTTTAAGTGGAACTTCCCCAAACCGGAAGTGCCTCCCATAAAATAAACTGCAGTAGGCTCGTTAGGAAAAAGGTGGACAGTAGGCTGCGTTTACACTTGGCATTAGCATGCGATCACCGTGATACGATCAAGCAGCTCGGATCATCAGTTAATCAGAACACGGCGTGTTTACACTTGTCTTTTCAATGTGTGTGTGTGGACAACATCTGGATACAGGTCGCATGTTAATGCCAAGTGTAAACGCAGCTGAAGAGGAGCGGTTCTCAATCCTGATCCTGGGGACACACCTGATTCAGATCAACACTCGTTAGCAGACTGCATGAACTGAGTGTGTCAGAGACACAGGGCTGAGAACCACTGCAGTAGGGTAAAGCTAAAGCAAAAGAACTCGATGAATGATATTTAAAATAATAATAAAGGTGCAGAAGGGGAAAATGTGGTCAGTTTGGGCTTTTCTGATCAAATCTGACTCTTCACACAAAACACACCGTTCATGATGCGTGTGCATGTGTCAGACTGCTCATTGGTGTATTTATGGACGACTGAACCCGGATCATCCAGCCCTGCGCCGCTGTGTGAAGACTAGTGATAGTCAGTCTGCTCTCAGCTCGGGGTGTGTGAGGCATTTTATAATAACTGAAGACACCTCGGTATTCTTTGTAACAAGTGGATCATATTTAAGGAGTTCTTGACCTGTTTTAAATATTGATTCAGTTGTAGTGAGTTAATGGCTTTGAAACAATAAAAGTGTTTGTATTTCCATTGAATCATTAAAGGCTCCAGTTTCTAATAAAGCAGGGTCATGAAAATATCTTTGAATCATGGTTTTAACATGAATTTGTCACTTAACTTTATACTTGTGTACAATAACTTA